ACCTTTCGATCCTATCAAGCAAATCAACGAACATGTGTTATACATATGGCAATCAATGATGAATGAGATAAGCTTATTCAACTCCAATCACCTCTAGAGGTGGGTTTATCACACCAAAGGGCCTCTAGCGGTGCCTCCTCTCTCGTGTCTTCTTGATGGTGAAAAACTTCACCACTCGTCAGTTGATTTCTTCATTGCTTAGCAGCTCAGGTGCTTCCCATATGAAGTCCTCTTGCCGGTACTCGTATGCAGGATGTGACCTCTCTTTGCACGGCTAGATTCGACAGCTGATGAAGTTTTACGTGCACTCAACCCCATCGATATCAACATGAGCCAAAAGATCTAGAAGCTCCTCCACTTGCACCATTTCATCACTGCTCGGCTTCACCGACCAGTTCGGATTTATTTTCACCTCAGTGTCAATATGCTCCAAAAGCCCATGTTCTACATTCTCGATATAGAACCACTTTGACTTCCACCTCTTGTTGGAGGTGCTAAGCGGGACTTTTATACTCCGCCGCCTTCCCATCCCGCAGCACAAGATAAGTTGCGCCCACAACCTTAGCACCGGCAAAAGATTTGAGGTGGAAGAAATAGCGAAAAGGGTTGAAGTGTGTCTCTATACCAAGATAGGCCTCACATAAGTTGATGAAGATTGCAAGATGTAGAATCGAGTTTGGGTTAAGATGGATGAGCGAAATCTTGTAGTACGGGAGCAGCTTGCGCAACAATGGATGTGCCGGAAGCCCAATCCCTGATGATAAAAATCCTCAAAAATGACTAGTTCGCCAACATGAGGATTTGGGAAGCACTCACCTTTCGTAGGGTGCCACCCGGCCGTCACTTCAACCGGCAGGATCCCATCCATCATCATCATCTCCAAGTCCTCCCGGGTACTGCTTGACACCACCCACTCCTTGTTGCGGGCATTCATCTTGCGCGGCTTCTTGGACGGCGCCATTGCTTAGATCTGGATCTAGATCTAGGGACTCACTATGCTCGCTCTTTCTTCATGGCAAGCTAGGACACTCAAGGTCAAGCGTGGGTGGTGGCGATGGAAGCAGCAGTGGCGGTGGTGGTGTGATTCTAGGTCGCTCGAGGAAGAAGATGAGAAGAATGCACAACCGCTCAAGTGAAATGGAATGTGTCGCAGGCTGAGTGTGCTTTATATCGGTTCACCTCCACCCTTTCATCTCCAAGGTTTCTAGGAAACCATGCCGCACCACGCGCATTTGCTCCCGCAATCGCTGCGCCACGCGCACGCGTCTACGTGCAGTTAATACGCGTTGCTCCGAATTCTCCATGCACACCTTTACTAGGCCATCTTATGGGTCGTCGTGTTTCCTTTGACTGGAAGATACAACGGGCGGCTCGGTTTCACATGTGGCTCTGATAATGGATGCACCTTGGTGATTTTTTGGTTGTTACTCCGTGGAAGATTTTCTCTGATTTGGTGATGTATTTTCAAGGCTTTTTCTTTGACCCTGCTACAAGGTTCATTCTTCATCGCGGGCTCAGGGACTAAGTGTGTATACTTCACCTTGCGGTGAATGGACTGATTTCCTAGTCACTCGATTCTTCGGCAACGCCGGGGACTGGTTGCTTTCTCCGCTATGCTGGGGACTGCATAACCCTGCTATAAGATTTCTTTTCTCATCTTCCAGCAGGCTTGGGGACTACATTATGTACAATGCACCTCGCAGTGCACGTATAGTTCCTTCTTCACAGTGTTTCAACTTTGCCAAGTCTATCATTTAATGCCTCTGCTCTGCCCTGATAACCACATTGTCAAAGCCATCGCAATTGGCACTTAAGTGTGTACATTTCACCGACCAAGATTTCTCAAATTTTTTGTTGAGCTCCTTACATCCTATTGATGAGCCTCACTTGGCTAAGTCTGAGATCTATTGGCCCCCCAAACTGGTCGGTAGCTTTCCTCACAGGTCGGCACACCAATTAAGCTGGTCGGCTAGCACGTTTACCGCCCAAGTCACCAGTTAAACTGGTAAACTTGCGTTTTTGCCGCTCGGATCGTCACACAGGTTGATCGGCTTCATGACAAACTGCTCGGACTTGATCAAGATGGCGTCACCAAACGGATACAAGATGCTCGGGGACTAGCTATGGGGGGTCTGACCCTATGTACTCACGGCGGACTACATGGGCCACACCACAAGGGACGGTCTAGCCCACAAGATGATGGCTTACGATTCATGGCACAGCTCGGCGCACGCCGTAAGGCACCTTAGTGACATCCTGAAGATCGTGTAGAATGTGTTAGGATATGCCGAATGTACATTTCCATGTAAAGAATATCTGTTACTCGACCAGACTTAGACCTGATCGGCATGTAACCCTACCTCACAGGCTATACAAGGCGGGTAGGGAACCCCCTCAAAACACACGCAATCATATACAATAGCCAATACAAACCGACGGGACACAGAATTAGGGTATTACATCAAACTGACGACCTGAACCTGTCTAAATCTTATGTCTTGTCACCATCTCGCTCCTGGTCTCGCTCACCTCTACGACAAATCTACCATCGTGGGTATACCCCTCGGTGGACTGTCGAGCACATTTAGTCGACACACCGCCACCCCTAGGGCGGTGCCACCACCGCCGTGTCCGGTGACCCTGCAGAGACAGCTCTAAAGGGGTAACGACTCTATTTGCTTGTGGGCTTATAAATAGAGGGTGTGGCTGGCCTTGGTCACTCTCTTTGCACTTTCCACACCTGCATACACCCTTTGGGAGCTGAGCACACCACTCCACTCACTTGCACACTTGATTTTATCATCTTGAGTGAGATTGGAGAGCCTCTAGTGCATTGTTTAGTGGTCTAGCATTTTATGGCACTAGTTGGGCAATTTGGGTTGATGGAGATCTTGTTACTCTGGGTGTTTGCCGACACCAAGACATCTCGATGATTGGTGGATCATCGAGCGGAGGAAGGTGATTGTCTTCGACTTCGATCGTTGTGATTGTGAGAGGTTCTTGTGTCTTCCCCAGCGGAGCGCCAAAGGCAACTCTAGTGGATTGCACGTGGCTTGTGGATCCTCATCTTGTGTTGGTTGTACGGCACCCGGTTACGGGTTAGGCGTGAGATGCCTATTAGCGTGTGAACCTCCAAGTGAGCGAATCGCCACAACGGAGACTAAGTTGCCGGTAAGTAAGTGAACCTCGGAGGAAAAATTGATTGTGTCATCATTGTCTCCTTGGTACTCATTGGTATTCTTGATTGATCACTTGTCACGGCGGTATATAATCTCTACCTCCCTTGTATTACTTACTTAGTGTAGCTAAATTCTTTAGTGTAGTTAGTTTTGAGAGCTAGCTTTCTTGCTTCTGTAGTTTGGTTAGTGATACTCTTTAGTTAGTTTTTGAGAGCTCACTAACTTAGAGCTTGTGACTTAGCCCCTTTGTGTGCTTAGAGAGTATAGCAACTAGAATTATAGTAGGTGGCTTATATTTTTAGTAGGCTAGCGTAAAATTTGATTCGCCTCATATTTATCTAACCACTTGACTCAGTGTTGTTGTAGATTTTTTAATAGGCTATTCACCCCCTCTCTAGCTATTATGACCTTTTCACGCAGCTCTCTGCAAAATTTGGTTAGCTTGGGGCTGTATGCTTCGCGATCCTTGTTGTGGGAGTTGGATTAATTGTTGGCTGTTGAGGTACCTGTAAACATTTTTGGTAGAACCCAGACCGTTGTTTGATGGAGTCCATCTCGGAATGTTGTGTTGGTTGTTATGGACAAGATAGATGTTTGTCATGGCCTGAACAGCGTGATGATAAAAAATATTATTATTAAGATCTAAGTTCCAGGACCGAGAGCCAAGAAGCCAAAGATCAGAGACAATAGTAGGCAGGGGAAGATTAGTGACAGGTAGGATCAAGTGATCATGAATAGTTAGACATATTGTATATTTCAATTCATAGAAAAAAACGTCTTATAATTTGGCACGAAAAGAGTACTGATGGACCAGGATCCTATTTGGAGGCCATTATCGTGGGACGGGCCTCGACCTCCCGCCGCCACCTCCTCGCGCCCTCCACCACAGGACCTCGTCCTAGCGCGTGACCCATCTTCAACATCCCGTCATGCCCCTCCTCCGTCGCCACGTCCCCATGCCCTCCACCACCGGACCTCGTCCTCATTCCCGCGCTCGTCCTCGACCTCGCCCCCGTCGCCGTTCCTGCTCCTCCTCGCCCCCGCCGTCGACCACCGCCTCGTCGCGAGCGCTAGGGTTCGCCGGAGCTCTAATGCGGTGGCCGCCTTCTTTCCCTCCCCCCTCTCGCGCAGAGCTCCACCATGGCCATGCTCGCCGGCAATGCCGAGCTCTGAGGTCCGGCCATGGCACCCCCACCCCTACCTGGCCCAACTGCCTTCGCTGCCACCGGGGCCCTGAACTGTCTGGATTTCTTCCCCACCACCTGGTCGGGCCTGCCAACCCGGGGTCCCTTCCTTCTAAGTCCACCGGAGTTGGCTTCTTCTCCGTCTCCGGCGACCTCCTCCTCATTGGAACACTAGCACGGCTTCTCTCTCTCTCTGGCGAGCACAAGCGAGAGGAAGAGAGGCGACGGAGGAACAAGGACGCGGGGAGAAAGCGAGCACGAGGAGGACGATGGGTCACGCGCTCCTCAATGACGCGACCCATATTAAGGTTTGCGATCATATTTACCTTATGACACCTGAATTATATAACGAGAATAAAACTCCAACAAAAATCTCACGGAGAATAGCTGATGTACCTGTCCCACGTCATTGTTGTATTATGTCTAGAGATATTTTCGAGGACAAGAAAAGCGCTTTCCACACTAGCCGAATCCGCCTTCATCGCAACTCGCGACGACCCAGCCATACAATCCATCCATCACTCGCGGACCGACTCGCCTCGAGCGGTTCCAATTCCAATTCCAACTGCACACTCCCCTTTTCCACTCCGTCCCGGCGATCCGACACCCCGGAGCGCCCGAGGCCTCGCTCACCGACATGTGGGCCCTCAGCAACGCCAAGGCCGGTGGACCCTGCCTCACGCCGCGGCACCCCGCGCCGCCCTCCCTCGCGTCGCCGTCGACGGCGGCGGCCGGGCGGAGGTTCTGGAGGCGCAGTCCCGGGTGGGCGCCCCTGGTGGCGGTGCGCGCGTCGGGGGGCACGAGGAAGGACGGCCCCGGCGGTGGCGAGGCCAGCAGCGGCGAGGAAGCCGATAGCAAGGCGTCGTCTTCCGGTTAGGCCCTTCGCATCGCATGTGCAGTATCCCAGGGCGCAGCCTTTTCGTGGATCCGGTTCGTTACCTGTTGATAGGATGCGATTTGGAGTTGGGGCGCCGTGCTTTTCGTGAGACTGGCGAGACCCAGATAATCAGATGTTGATCTTGCTCCGCACTTTGTTGATAGGATTTGGTTGATTGTGAATTGTGATATACTGTGTTTTTACTTTTTGTTAATTTTGGTATACAAACTGCATTAGACTTATATGATTTAAGTATGTACTACAAAACATGTGATCAATCCAGCGTGATGGCCACATTAGAAGTGCTTTGGTGTACTCTTCCACAAACCTACACTGAAGAGCATGGCCTTGGTTCTGCTCAATTGATGGCTTTTGTTCATGCAGGGCATGATGATGCATCTACCCCAACAGGGGATACCTCTGCAGGGTTGAACCAACCCCGTGACGAGACAAAAACAAGCAAGCCGATTAATGTTTCTAGCAGCAACTACTGGCGAGATGTCAGGGCAAACCTTGTGCGCCGGGAACAGGTGAGCCTGGCCTGTTCTTAGTTACAATCTGTAGTGAAGATTTTCCCTATTGTTAAATAGATGCCAAGAGATGCAAATATTTTTTTGTTCATCGAGGCATTTGCCATTTCACTTCTTGCTATTGTGCCTAAACTGGTAACAACATGCTGTTCTGAGCATTACTAGTTTCACCAATTGTTTTATTACTCCTACTTGGGTTCACAACTACTATGCTACTATGGTCCACTGTCTGTTTAAGCTATAAGTGCATAACATCTTTATGGCTTGCATTGGTACATTGCACAGGGATATAACTTCAAGTTTCAACAGGTTATTTGCTTTTCATGTAGTAGGAAACGGTAGTTGGACGCAGCTATCATTTTTGTGTAAGCTTAAACTCTAGTGCCCCAACAACTCTAGTTTGAATAGGAGTACTTGGAAAGCAGCTATTGAAGTGCCTGAACCATGACTTGGGGCTCTTGGTGGGTTTCAACTCTAGCCTACCCCAACTTGCTTGGGACTGAAAGGCTATGTTGTTGTTGTTGTTGTTGTTGTGTTAAACTCTAGTGCCCCCATGCCATCTGAGGCCTGTCTCATACTGGCAATATAAAGGGTCTTGCAATTTTTGCTCTTCTTCTTAATGCAAAACACAAACTTATTTTGAAAAGAAAAAAAAAAGAAGTTTCGGCAGGGTGTCCTAGAATTAGGATTTTCAATTCTGCGCCATAGAATGGCGATCAAATGAAACATTCTGAATAATCTCTGTGGGGAAAAATGGAACACTAACAGTGGATTTCCCATTCTTGAAAAAATTGCTGCTATATCATTATATCAAGGCTGTATCACATAAGCCATTGTTTTGCATCTCATTACATTTATTTGTAAGTTGTTGTAGGTTAGTTTTCATTGTTTAATAAAATTGTTGTTGTAGAGAATTTCCATTCTTTGCAGCAAGCCAATTATCACAACTGGTCAGACAGCCCTATACCTTCTGGGTTTTCATATCTGCTTCTGTCTCTTAATCAGGAGCTATTAGTGGATCCAAGTACTCCCACAGAGTCAAAGGCATCCTCAGGAGATCCATTACAGCTCCCTCACAAGTGGGCTCATGCTATTACAATGCCAGAGGCAGGATGTGTTTTAGTTGCTACCGAGGCGCTTGATGATGATAGCATCTTTGAAAGAACCGTCATCTTCATCCTTAGACTTGGTTCAAGGGGTACATTTGATGGCCCGTTCGGAGTTATCCTGAATCGTCCACTTTACACAAAGATCAAGCACGTCAATCCAACGTTCCAAGACCAGGCAACCCCTTTCGGTGATTCCCCCCTCTTCTTCGGAGGCCCTGTTGACATGAGCATGTTCCTGGTGAGGACCGACGACAGCTCGCATCTCAAGGGGTTTGAAGAAGTCGTACCAGGCATCTGCTACGGCTTCCGTACTGACCTTGAGAAGGCCGCCGTTCTGATGAAAAACGGTGTGATCAGGACCCAGGACCTGAGGTTCTACGTCGGGCACGCTGCCTGGGACTATGAGCAGCTGTTGGGTGAGATCAGGGCGGGATACTGGGCTGTGGTGTCTTGCAGCACGGAGCTTATCAGTGATGCCTTGACAGGCGATCCTTCTTGCCTCTGGACCGAGATACTGCAGCTGATGGGAGGCCAGTACTCTGAGCTCAGCGAGAAACCGAAGCAGGACAGCTCGTAGGTATTTGGTCATTTGAGATGTAATAATTTGTTGTGGTCGAGTCAGGTCTGTACATAATTGGAATAGGGTGACTCGCTTGTTACCCCTAGCTTCATGTAGCAACTGTTATGCGTTGAGTAGTAGGCTCTATATAATGGCTGCCTGCCTGCCTATGGATTTCAGCAATTGCTGAATATGAAGATAGCGCTTTTGATGAATCACACATGACAAGGGTTTCTCTATTGAACTATGCAAAGTGCATTCGCTGCATTTCATAATACTTGTGCATCAAGGCTATATTAGTAAACATGTATTCTATACTATTCTTCTCTATATAATATGTTCCCCGGCTTTACTGGCGTGAACATATTAGTCTTTTCAATAATACCATACGTGTTATAGCATGTATCCATTTCTCACTAGACTTATCATTACTCGTTGGGTATGTTCACGCAGCATGCGAATTCACTCTTTTCTTTTTTGCATGAAGGGTTGAACGGAATCTGCAGAGTTGAGGAGTGTCCATGTTCGCTTGATCATATCAACTATGTTTATCAACCATGATACAATATTTTTTTTCATAATAAAACAGCATCAGCCGATTTATAAGCTACAGAAACGATCAAAGCGAACAGGGTGATAGCAGTGCGTGGGTAGGCATAGGTGCCTCCAAACTCGAAAGCAATCTTGGATGCTGTTGAATGATGAATCTACTGCGACTGCCGACTGGCGGTACCCACCCGCTGAAACTTGAAAGTTGCTAACTCCTGCCTCCTGGTTGAATTGAAAGTGAAACTGGTCAAGGCTGCCGAACCCATGGATTCTGGAACATTCTTGATTCTTCTACTCCGTCAAACGGAAGAAGTGGCGTCTTCTGGCGGCTAGCTATTACTAGTAGTAGAACAGGAGAGGAGTGCAGGACCAGAGATTCCACCGAGCTCAATTCTTGATTCTTCTACTCCGTCAAACGGAAGAAGTGGCGTCTTCTGGCGGCTAGCTATTACTAGTAGTAGAACAGGAGAGGAGTGCAGGACCAGAGATTCCACCGAGCTCAAAAGGCATTGCGCTACCTTTTGGCACAACTGAAGTGATGATCCGAACCAAGTCGTCCCAAAAACCTTCCGCATCTGATTCACGGACTTGCCACTGGCCCATTCCTGATGACGAGCGGCGACCGAGCCATCAGAATAAGAAAAAACAAAGTATAGGAGCGACGACCAAAATTGTCGAGCTGAGCGGCTGACCGCCGGCGACGGCGAACAAGATTCACGTCCGTCGGTACATACTCGTAATTGGAATAGGCTGATTCGCATGTTTCTCCAGTTTGACGTGGCAACTGTTATGCAATGGTTGGCTGCTTGTGGATGTCAGCAATTGCCGAATGTGAAATGCTAGCATTTCCACCTGAGCACTTTCAGATAGATAGATGGATTAAATTAAACAGCGCGTTCCCTGCATTCCAGAATTCGTGCGTCAAGGAATGCGTCTCCGAAATTCAGAGCTGTATTGTCCATTTGTCCAAGGCAGTGTTGGGATGTTGGATGCTGTTGCATCTCCTAAGTCCTATCAGACTGTTCGGTTGGCTGGTTCGTTTCGTTGCTGGTTCGTAAAGAAGTACTAGTTGGCTGGTTTGTGTGAGAGAAAAATACTTTTTCGGCTTGAAATTTACGATCATTTACGATAAGCCACAGCAAAACGAACAGGCTATGTCTGTGTGTGGTAGCCGGTTTCTCCTGGAGCACGCGGACCGGACCCATGGGTTCTGCCTGCCGAATCGAACATTCCACTCCACCGAGCTCAGAACCATTGCGCAGCCTTTTTGGATGGTCTGAGAGAGCCCACTACTACTCCTCAAAGAAAGCCCCCTTCTGCCTTCTGATTCATGAACGAACTCGGGCATTACAGATGAGATGACTCAGCGTCGACGGAGCCATAGCCATCTGAACATGGTAAGAGCGACCGAGCTGAGCGGAGGCGGCACGCACGCCGGCGCCGCCGAACAAGTTTGACGCCTGCTACTACAGACTACAGAAGTGAGTGATCCAGGCGCTGTGGAGTGGACCCCACCTAGTCCCGCACGTGCGCATGGACGGCGCACCGAAACGTAAGCAGTCATCAGCCTCCAACTCCAAGCGCCACAGACCACGTCCCTCTTCCTCTTCAAATCAAGGAGTCAACTTGCAAGACGTCATCTATCAAGAACCTTCTGTTACAGTAGCCTTTGTTTGTATTTGGTGTTTGCAAACCATATTGGATCAAACTTTTAAATAGTATAACAGGAATCTTGCTTCCATTTGTTTTTATAAAATCCCACCCAAATGGTACATGTTGTAGTAATCTTGATTTATATATACTGCCTAATAATCAAATCAAGATCTCTATGTCGTCTACGCTAATATCCCCATAAACAAGCGGCTGCTCACTGCCGGCGCTGGAGGAGGTTCTGCTGGCGCTCGCGCTCGCGCTCGGCGTGGACCAATACGCACTACTGGTGCTGCTGCTATCACCGTCGCTATACGGCGGCGGCGGCGGCGGCAGCGGCGCGCACGCTGCTGCGCCTTGCACCGTCGCGCCACCGCCCCCCTGCGCGACGCCGCCAATGCCAGGCTGGACGGGCGTCGGCTGCGCGGCGAGAGCCGCCGCCCGCGCGTCGACGATCTGCGCGTCGGCGGCCATGCCTGCGTCGGACGCGACGCGCTGCACGGAGCGCGGCGACAGCGGCGGCGAGCGCGCCTGCCCGCCGTAGGCGGCGTAGTAGCAGGCGGCGCGGTCGGGGAAGTTGAGGTGGCCTTGCCCCGGCCGGCCGCGGCGGAGGAGGCACGCGGCGGCGTCGTGCGCGACGGCGGCGGCCTCCGGCGCGGCGTAGGAGCCCAGCCACAGGCGCTCCCGCGTGCCGGGCACCCGGATCTCCGACACCCACTTGCCCCACGCCCGCCGCCGCACGCCCCTGTACCGGCACCAGTGCCGCTCCGCACCTCTCCCGGTCCCAGCGCCGCTCGCCGCGCGGCTCATCGTCGTCGACCGACCGACCGACCGTCCGTCCGGATAGGAGCTGCTGGGCTGGGCGGCCGTCGACCTCGGTCGGCTGAGGCGGTTTGGTTATGCTGGTGGTTTTTGGCCGTTTGCGATGGAGCACACGACGACAGGAGCGACGTGAGCGTATTTATAAGGTGTGATGAGATGAGGAGAAGCACATAAAGTCAGCGCGGGCGGGGCGTTGACATGATCTCGGCAGTGAGTAAAATACGGGCGGATTGACCTCAACTTCAGTCTCCGGGTACCGGGTGGATAATAAAAATAAATAACAGAAATACTTCTTTTCAGACCCCGTTCACTTGGAGGATTTTGGAGAAATCTGGATGGTTTTGATGAATTTAGAGTAATTTGTGAGAGAAAACACGGTTTCGGATGAAAAAAAGAAGCGGATCAAGCCGGGTTTAAGGACACGCGAACGGGGCCTCAGTCGCCTGTTGCATTGCTTATCCGTCAGTCAAATGCACCTACGCCAGCGCTTTGCCCGCTCGGCGTCAGTCCCACGAGCACTGTCGCCCGTGCCGTCGAGAAAGTCTGCGATGCGCAAGTGGTGGCACGTCCTCGCGGCTCATGGTGGTCGCGCTGCATTACGACGAGGATGCGTGGACGGACTGGGGCCCGCGCAAGACGCCGCGTCCGACCGTGTCATGGACGCCATCCTCGACGCCCACAACGCAGGACCCTTCCCTGCCTGCCGACGCTTTCTTCCCTCCCATCCCATGAAAAAAAAAACTCGGCCTGCGGTGGGCAGACAACCCCTTCAGTTTTTTTGCGTTAGAAGAAGACCTTCACGTAGGCCGAGAAAATCCCCGAACCCCATGCTCCGCCCTCACACAGGGGTCCGTAACCCTGTGAATGGGCCGGAACCTTTTTACCTGTGCTTTGAGACGCGAGACAAACGAAGGAGGCTTTTTCTGCACAAACTGCGCATTACCGCAGCTGTGCCCGTGGCAGCCAGGAGTCGAACTCCCGACCAGGGCCTTCCCACGACGGGGACGGAACCACTCGAGCTAACACTCGCTCGCCATCCCATGAATCTGCAAAGCAAAAGCTGAAGAAGGCAGGACGCCGGACGGCCGGAGAGCAAGAAGAAACGGGAGAGAAGATGGAGACGACGGTGGGGGAGGTGACCGATGGTTAAGCAAGCCATCAGCCGCCTGCCGCAAAGACACACCCTAAAAATAAAATGACGATGAGGCACGGGTAAACCATGCACGTGAGGGCACTACCGCGCGGGCCAAGTCAGACGAGAACGAGACGACAGCTTTTGGTTCGGTGGATGGATGGATCGTGGTGGTCGTGGTCGTGGTCGAAAGTCGAAAGGAGGATGGTTGGTGCCATGATCTTTTGTTCTGCGACGGTGACGTGTCTCTGATGCGTGGGCCATGCACGGTCAAAGTTTCCACTGGTCGGTCAGACGCGGCCCAGAGCTCAGCTCAGCACGACAGCACCCCCGTGGTTGTGAATGGTCGGTCCCTGCCCCGAAGCCAAGCCCCTCGGCTTTGGTCTGCGGTGTGCGTCTCATTCACAGCTACGGTCGGCTTGAAATGGACAATTAGTCTGTTCGGCTGCCCTCATTCACAGCTGCAGCAGCTGCCAGCAGCAGCCGTGCTAGCGCAAGCGCTTACGCAATCTGCGCGCTAGCTCTCTCATGTGCTTGCGGTTTCGTTTACCGGCCGGGCGTATGTGGCGGCTAAACTGAGACTGAAGGTGGTGTGACTAGTGAACATCACTGTTGGGTGGCTTCTAGACTGCGGATTTAATTAGCTAGTTGACACCATGTCATTGCCCTATGCACTTCTTGTGCTACGGTCGACTTGAAATGGACAATTAGTCTGTTCGGCTGCCCTCATTCACAGCTGCAGCAGCTGCCAGCTAGAGAGCAAAATACTGTAGAAAAAAAAAGCAAAATAAGCCGCTGTGGTGCATCGAAAAGCAGACAGAATATTTTACTGAACTTTGGCTTATTTGACTTTTACTCCAACCCA